TTGCCATCGATGTCATGCCCGACGCCAATGACACTCAGGTCTATAAACTCAATGTAAGTCTTATCACACTTTTACTTATTTTTCTCTTAAAAACACAAATACTAAACAACTTTTACTACACTTTATTTCAGTATAGTATTGATTAGATAACTTATTGCTTTATTAATAATAAGTTTAATAAAGTGTCAATTACATTTTAGAGGCCAATGTCATATCAATTATTCACATTAATATTATGGGTTGAATTAACTATTATCTTTAAACTTAAAGTTATATTCTTTATTTGGACATTTATATACATTTGATTTAATTATAACGTGTTTTATACGAGAAAAGTGAGCAATATCAATCAATAAAACAACACAAAATAGCCGCTCCGGAGGGGAATTGAACCCCTGCTCTTCGGGGTATAAGCCCTACGAACTGACCCATACACCAGAGCTACACCTAATTATTGCTGTCATTATATTGCTATTTCAATACCACAATACAGTACAAAACAAAATTATTTCACTACTTTTATCCTTTCAAAAAACTTTTACAGTCATAACAATCATTATATTACAGTAATTATTCATTTGAGACTTTGTTTGTTTAAATGTTAATTAATGTTTAGTAAAAGTGTTAAATATCACGACAGCTCTTTGCTTTTCTAAATACAATTTATAACTTATGTATTTTTAATCATTTTAAACACCATTTATTCAAAGTTTGATTCAGCGGTGTTTGGTTTGGGTCGCAACCAATTGGTGAATACGAGTGGTTATCCCGATATAGTGAACGCTTATAAGCAATATATACTTCAATCGGCACTACTATTAGGCGCTAAGAATGACAGCCAAACTCATCAGGATATTGAGGATTTGCTTAACTTTGAGTCTCAATTAGCGCAGGTTTATTAAAATTCATTTGTATTCATAATAAATAATTTACCAAAAAATTGTCCCAATATTTAGGAAACACTAACTCAGGAAGAAAAACGCGATTCCAGTGTTTGGTATAATAGGATGTCATTTGAAGGGTTCAATGAATTGACTGATAATAGAGTCGATTGGCTGAACATAACGAACAGAATCTACTCTAAACTCAATTCAACGATTCGCGTCAAAAGCGACGATATAGTGATCCTTCAGGACATCAAATACTATAAATCTGTGACCAAATTGCTGTCGGAGACGCCTCCGAGAGTTATCGCCAACTATTTCGGGTGGTATGCGGTCAGCGGTTTGAGTTCGTGGACTACCAGTGCTTTCAGAAGTGTCACCTTTGAGTTCAGTAAAGTAACCTCTGGTGCCGTCAAAGATGTCGAGCTCTGGAGATATTGTTTGAATGACTTGTCTAATGGTTTGGAGTACGCTATCAGTCGACTGTATATTGATAAGAGTTTCAGCAAAAAAGATAAACAAGAAGTTTGTATTGAATTTTCGATTAAACTTCTGTTGAAAACTATATTTAATAATTATCTCAATGAAGGCGTCGCTTATCATAAAAGACATCAAAGACTCGTTTTATGAGTTGATTGAAGAGAGCGATTGGTTGGACGAGAGCACCAAAAATAAGTCTTTGATTAAATTGGATGCAATTCATCGTAATGTCGGGTATCCCGACTGGATATTAGACGACAAAGAATTGGATAATTACTATAAATTGGTAAATTAATTACGAAATTATCAATGAATTATTGAATCACTTTTAACTTAATTCTAGAAACAAAAAGTGGATTCAAAACACTTCTTTGAAAGCGTGCTATACTTACAACAGACGTCTACTTTACGTGAATTTAATTCATTACCAGAAAAAGTAAATCTAAGTTTGAGGTAAATATTAATTCTTATTATTGAGAATTTTTTATTACAATTATAACATTAACTGAAAGTGAACTCCCATTTAATGGTCTTTACATATCGACTTAATTTAATTTACAATCCCTTTAACCCATAGCTGGCCAATGGCTCCCCATATAGTGAATGCCGCCTACGAACCCACACAGAATTCAATCAGTTAGTCATTAACTGAATATATCTCTAATAAATGTATATATAAATAATTTTACTATTTTATTAACAGCTATACCTGCTGGTCAATTAACTCCTCCTTATTTTGACGCCAATATACCGGCTCATATCAACTACGGAGCCATTGGATCGGTATTACATAATAATTAATTAAATTGACTTATTTTAATCAATTAAAATTAATCTATTAATAGGTTGTGGGACATGAGTTGACCCATGGATTTGATGACGAGGGTATGTATGCCTTGAGTTTTGTGTTTTTAGTGCCTAATTAACATTATATTAAATTCATTTTGTTTGGACAGGCAGCCAATTTGACGCTGATGGAAATCTAGTCAATTGGTGGACACAAGCAATACATAAGCGTTTCGATGAAAAGGCCAATTGTTTTATTGATGAATACAACAGTTATATCGACACACAAACTCAAATGAGAGTTAGTCTACCTTTATATTAGTAATTTTTAGACCTTGGTACACATACATTTATGTTTACAAACAGTTGAATGGAAAAAATACTGTCGGAGAAAATATCGCAGATAACGGGGGTATAAGGGAGTCATATAAAGCATATGAAGTATATGTGAGAACACATGAAAACCCGCAACGACTGCCACATATCGACAAATATACGGCTGAACAACAGTTTTTCATATCATATGCTAATGTAAATGACTTTTTAATCAATTTATCTACACCTTGGTATATTTTTATCAAATTTTATTTCTTTACAGACGTGGTGTACAATATACAGAACTGAATACATGAAAAATATGATTCAATACAACCCGCACAGTCCCGCCAAATACCGAGTGAATGTCCCTGTTTCTAATTTCAAGACATTTTCAGACGTTTATAAATGTAGTGCCGATTCCCGTATGAATAGGAAAGACAAGTGTGTTTTGTGGTAAATGGTGTTTAAGATATCAAATACAAGGGATTCAGTATTAAATTATAATTTAAGCATTACATATAATTAATCTTATAACATAACTATAATTATTTATTTTGTGTCACAATATCAATACTCTTTTTAGTAAAACTATCTTATTATGTCTACTATTTTTATTTATATTAAAGTTAATTCACATAAAGATTTGTTTTCGTCTCATTTCAAATGATAACAACAAATAGTTAAACAAGTAATGAAGTCAGTAAATACAATACTGTATGGTAATTAATAAAAAACTTACATTTATTATAATATTTGATAATGATATGCATTTATAAAGAAAATTCTGCTATTTTTAAAAAGAATGCTGCAGTTAGTACCAGGATCTATTTATTAGCAATTAGATTGAATTAATTTAGTAAATAAAAAATATACTATATTTATATTTAATATAGCAATGCCTTACTTCATAGGTTCGGTTTTTATTCATAATAAAAAGTTTCCAGCAGTAAAAGCCAATTGTTTGATCACTAACTTTCTCAATGAAATTCAATAACTATTGAAATAAGAAATTAATTTTCAAATCAACATATTTTCATAATTTAAAACATACTTTAATCTGGTGTCCAACTGACTTGAATGCATAGCTATTGCTGTAAAATAAATGAAATAACAAACTTTCACTTTTGTTGAGTTCACTGAATACGGACGAAGCGGTTATTAAAATAAATATTAAAAATATTAAATACAAAAGCATTAAATATAAAAATAAAATTCTGTCAACAAATACGAGGCGTCCATAGAAAACGATATAAATCTTGAGATTTAAATCAAACATAATTGACAACAAAATTGCAAACAAATATTCACACCAGACGTTGGAGTTATATTCAGCGACTTCTTTATGGATGGAATTCAATGACTTCAAGAGTTGTGTAATTCTTCCCAACTTTTGAAACATTGAATAGTTTTGCGATTCTTCTCTTATTCTGGTGTTTAATCGCTTTGTTTTGAGATTCAGGTAATAGCATATAATATAGAAATAACTGATTTGAAAAACCAAAATGTTTGCGCAAAAGAAGGCAAATGTGACGAAAAATAAAATCCACGGAATTATAACCAAAATCTGCAAACCTTTCGCGTGAAATAGGAGTGGAATACCGCACACTATTAGCCCACAGGGAATGGCTGTGAATCTTACATATTGTGAAACATTGAGATAAATCTTTGCAATTTTCATAAGTTTCAAAACATCGGAACTGTCTGTTAGGCCAACACTTTCAGGCGATACTAAACCTGATATCACACGAAATGGTAGCAAATATGATGGCTTTATACTTGAGATGTAATACCAGTAGTGAATCAATTGAGAGACAACAGCTATTTCTCCAAATACTAGATTAATAAGTCTTAAGTGATGTTTGATTTCATTGCCCACAAAGTGAATGTAATCACCAATTAATAGATGAAAGTTAGTGTCCATATGAGTGAATGCAAATTCAATGACACATTTGGTTAGATAACCACAGATAACAGTAAAAACAAAGTATGGGTTATAAAGTAATGCCCTTTTGTAAGAGTCTTCAGCAAACAGAGATAATCCATACTTATAGAAATCAACCCCGGCGCTTTTTACAAATAGTTTTGAGTCTAATTTCTTATTAGAATTCATTTCATACACTTTTGAATCTCTTTGGATAT